ATGAATGAGTATGAATGTGTATGAATGTCGTTAGAAAGCATTAAGTATAGATAAAGTGCTTGTGAGAATGGGTGTGATTGGGTGAATGAGGCATGTTGTATAGAGCGCTTTGAGTACTCCGGGAGAGTAGAAAAGCGCTATATAAGAATCAGTCCATTTACCATTTACCATTTAGTTAAAAAATAAATTAATATGAGTATAATTTAAATAACAAGTTTGCTGCTCTCAGTATATTTGTGAAAATATCAATGAGAATATCAATCTTTTGAGTTAAGTTTTAACTTAAAAAGTGAAAGTTTCAAAATATAAGTTCACATGTTTTCTACACATTCTCAAGTCTCTGCAAGCTCTCACGCCAACATATTTAACTCTCAATTTGCAACAATGTTGCATTTTACTGATACATTTCTTATGTTCTTTTCACGTTTTTAATCGTGATTTTATCATCATCATCTGACAACATCTCGGTTTGGCGTAGGCGTCACTCATAGGGATCGTTTCGCGTAGAAGAAGATTGATATGATCTACAAGTTGATAACAACCCTTGTTATACCTGTTATCTACAATTAGGGTTTTAAATGTTGTCAAGCTAGTTAATGCAAAGAAGGCCAAACCAAACCAAAACCAAAGGCAGGGCTGACCATACTCTGGAAACACAAAGTATGTTTCTGTCAGGTAAAAATGTATTTGTTATGTGCACCTCAATACCAGATGCAACCTATAATTTCCTTCGGGATTAATAAAGTATTTCTGATTCTGAATTCATTATTTCCATAAGGTTCGTTACACTTGCACTGCAACTTCAGTTACTCAACTCCAAGCGCTTTAATTTTATCTTCTGAAACAAATAGTTCTTATACTTAAGAGCCTGCTGGAATTAATTACACCAGCCTGGTTCCTTAATAGAAATTTGACATGTTCCATCAGTCAGTCCTTTTTTTAAAAAAAAAAAAAAATCCGATCTATCAATTTTAAGTTACTCCAGGGATAAAAACAAGCTTCCAGCTGACACCTAAATCAGCAGCAGGTGTTAAAACAGCTGACAGAGTGAACAAGATGAATGCAGGTGAACTCAACTCTATTGCGGTGGAGTCGTGAGGAAAACTGTAGCTTGTGCTTAGCTTTATGTCACAGAAACACATAGGTACAAGTCCAGTTAAAGGGCTGTTTTTATTTCAAAATTCAAAAAAATTCAAATTCATTGCAAATGCTTTCAATCAGTATAATTTACTTTGTTATCTGAAGACAATGTTGACATGTATATGCATTTGTATGATCTAGAGAGCAACATTTTTTTGTCAGTGAGGTCTTTTGTCAGGTATGACATACTAGCAGGTAGAAGCACCTACTTGTTGAAAATAAGAAATCTGCACATTTATTATCTGAAGCAGTTAGAGTGGAGTGTGTGATATAACAAAAAAACTTAACCAGTGTCAAATGAAAACGAGCTAAACTGGAACACGGGTTATTTTCAGGAACAATAGAATCTCTCAGTTAACAAACACACAGATATGCACAGATGTAGAGAGACCTGCTGCCCTCTTGGAGATTTCAATAAAACTGCAAGAATCCTTTAGGATTATTAAGAACCTATTTTTAGTTTTTTCTCTTCTTTGTGGTCCACGGGGCCTTAAGTGAAATATTTATTTTCACTTTTATACTGTGATCTCTGATTCATTCTCAAAAAGAACTCCCTGTCTTTTCTCCCACTTTAACTGTAGAGTTACAGTGGTTAATCTATACTAACTAAAGTTAATTGTTTACACGTAAGGCATTTACACAACTGGCACCTAATTAATTGTTAATTTTCGTGTCCCTTTTTCGCGTTCAGTGTGTAATAGCCTTTAGCCTTGAGTGGCTAGCTGTAAACAGTTAGCCACTCTGGGCTAACAGTAAACACAAGATGCGGGGTTTACGCTTAGCTTAACTGTGTTATAATGCAGTGTCACTTCTGTCAGTTACCACAAATGTTGAGTGAAGTCACAAAGTTTCCTGTGCCCTCGCAGACTAACCTCACCTCATTTACTTAGCCTGGCAGGGCGAAGGACACTGTCTCAGCTGAACTCTGGACACACACACATACACTGATATGCACACACTGATTCCCCCTCCCTTTCAAAAAATGCCTTCGATGCTTGTGCCCTACCGGGGAAGATGGCAGTCGACTGGACCAGCGCAGGCATGCTGCAGGACCGGATGCGCTGTCTACACCGGCTCTCTCTTACCCTTTACCCGCCCCTGTTGCTTGTCTTGTGTTTCTATGGTGTATTGATAGTCATGTGCTTTTTGTGCTGAGGTGTTTTTTCTGTTATCAAACTGTTCTCCCACTAGGAGCTCAGTCTGAGTGGAGATTTTTTTCTCCTCCTCTTACCTCATATTATGTATTTTCATTGTTTTTTTTGCTATCAGCCTACCTTTCTGACATGTCTCCCCAATGTGATGTTTGTGTAAAGTTGGTCAGAAGGTTTCTTTGTATGTGCACGTGCGCCATTAGCGTGCTGCCTGCTGTAACCCTAATTTCCTTCGGGATTAATAAAGTATTCTGATTCTGATTCTGATTCCACACAGATAACCAGCACAGAGAGGAACCTTTGCCGCTTGGCTACAATATTTTTGTAAAGGACACAGAAGGATTTCTTTTCTCATCATGAACACATCAAACATCACTAACGTGACAACAGAAGACCGGGTTTATGCTGGGATCTTTAGCTTAATTATGGTGATAGGTCTGCCTCTCAATGCGATCTCACTGTGGATTCTTCTTCGCCGCCACAGCCTCAAATCACCCAACGCTGTTTTCATGGTTAACCTGGCACTCTCAGACCTGCTGCTGGTCTTCACTTTGCCCATGAGGATCCACTTTCACGCCACAGGGGAATGGACTCTGCCCAATGGGATGTGCCTCATCATCACAATGTTCTTTCGCACCAACATCCGCTCCAGCTCCTCCTTCATCACCTTCATAAGCGTGGACCGAATGCTGGCTGTGGTTTATCCTCTGAGGTCTCGCAATCTTCGGACGTCGTGCAATGCCTGGAAGGCTTCTGTACTCGTCTGGGTGATTTTGCTGTTGATGAATATCCTAGAGAGTGTGGACTTTCTAAAGCAGTTGAATAACCACACTCACCCTACTTGCTTTGAGTCTTACGAATCTGAAAAATGTCCTTTGGAAGGAATCCGATTAAGAGTTATTCAGTTTATGATTGTAATATTGGTCACAATGCTGTTAGTTAACATTGTGTGCACCACTATGGTGTTTAGGACTCTACACAGACATCTCAGTGGTGACTCTCCAAAAATCAACAACAAGATGAATGTAATGCTGATTTTTGCCATAAACTTGATTTTATATGCTATATTCTTACCTGTGCCTATAACTATGGCTATGGATTGTGCCCATGTCAAGCCATTGATATGTCTTACTGTTTTAAACTGCTGTCTGGATCCTCTGTTGTATTACTTCTCTTTTGATGCTTTCTGGAAGAAAAAAGAAGATGTTGTGTAAATGTAAATAAATGGGGATACCGCAATCTGTGTCACACACTACTCAGGCCTTTTACTTCAGCTGCGTGTGTGTTATTTTATAAATAAATGTAATATATTTTGTTTTTAAAATCAAGCTGTAAACTTGTTTTTTTAAGCTCACTGCCAGTTGTTTATTGAGAGATGCACCTGCCACCACAAACATATGGTTTTATAGAATATGAGGCCAAAAATTAAACACCATATGAAGCAGTTCAAATGAGGTCAACCCTAAACATCAGCAGCAGCAGTAATACTGATCAATATAACAGCATTCATATGATCAATATGGGGAACAGCTTTTCTGTAGTAAAAGTACTGCTGATGATTTATGTAGAAATTAGTGTAAAACACTTTTATGTCTAGTCAGGTATTTTCATATTGAATTTTTTAAAAAATCCCCAACTACTTGCCATCGTAAGCTTAATGTAAATATCGACATTGTCATGATCCTGAGTCCGTGACTCAGTGATTTTGTGTTTGGTGTATTTATTGTTATTATTTTCATTATTATTTGTGGGCTGTTTTGGGATGGTTTGTGTTTTAGATACTGGGTTTCTGGGTTTGTGCTCCCTCTGTTGGTCCCTGGTGTTAGTGTTCCCCTGTCTCGTCAGGTTAATCAGGTCCAGCTGTGTATTTATAGTGTGTGTTTGCCTCTGTTCCTCGTCGCGTCGTCTGTGTTCATCCTCTGTGTCACCCTGCGTACTCTGCATTTCTC